TAGATAGATAGATAGATAGATAGATAGATAGATAGATAGATAGATAGCAATAGCACTTAGACTTATATACCGCTTTATAGTGCTCTACAGTCCTCTCTAAGCCGTTTACAGAGTCAGCAGATTGCCCCCAACAATTTGGATCCTCATTTTACCCACCTCAGAAGGATGCAAGGCTGAGAAAACCTTGAGCCTGGTGAGATTTGAACTGCCAATTGCAGATAGATAGATAGATAGATAGATAGATAGATAGATAGATAGATAGATAGATAGATAGATAGATAGATAGATAGATAGATAGGCAGGCAGGCAGGCAGGCAGGCAGGCAGGCAGGCAGGCAGGCAGGCAGGCAGGCAGGCAGACAGACAGACAGGACATGGAGAGATAGATAAAAAATGTGGAGCCATTACAAAAAGATATCAGTCCTAAGAAAGTATAATCCCCCTGGATTGTGAATCGAAATAGAGAAAGGCTTTGTCAGATTTTAAAGTTTCCATTACAATACATTAACTCCAAGATGACTCTAAACAGCTTCAGCAGTTAAAAGAAACAACCATATATAAAAACTGTCATCTATGGAACAACATCACACCCAATCAGATCACATCCAACTCAAGGCCTGGAAATTCTCTGGTACTAACCAAAGCCCACCCTGTTTAGTTTTGGAGATCAGTGAGGGGTAGGTTCTGTCTTCTGCAAAGCCAATAATTGACCATAAAGGTAAAAAAAAAGATAGTGTTTTAGTTTATTAATGCATTATTGTGATGCCTCTCTGTCAACTAAAAAGATACTCCTTTGGTCTTTTTAGCTGCCAGAAAAAGGGAGTGGGGGGGAAACAGTGCATTCCTTATCTAGGTGATTCCTAGATAATCACCTGGAGTGCAAAAAAATTACTGGAGAATGATTGATGACTCTTGGGGATGGATGTGTCCCATTGGAGAATACACATCCAGGGAGTGGGAGGAAGACCAGGATCAAGGGGGAAATGAATGATGTATTTTAGTATCAGCTGCATCCAGCTAACACCAATATGGCCTCTTCCAATAAAACAATTTTCTTTTCTCTGAGATGCGGCTAGAGACTTATGATTTGAATGGGCGTGGATTTGTCAGAATCCTCACACTCCCAACTTCCAGAATCTGAACATTTGACATCCCCATTATCAAAAAGCATTCCATGAAACACACATATCGTCATGCTGGCCATGTGACCACAGAAGGGTCTTTGGACAGCGCTGGCTACCACAGCTAAGAAACAGAGATGAGCACTGGCCCCCTAGAGTTGGACACCACTGGACAGGGGAAATCTTCACCTTTACCTTTTAGGAAAACCAGCCCCCACCATCTGAAGCTCTTACCTGTTGCTTCCACCATCCCTTCTAAAATGACGACAATTTCAAACTCTTCCTTCTCCAGCCGGGCACGTGACATCTCCCAAAAGGGACTCTTCTCATTGATTTCATGCGAAATGATGAGTGGGGATACCAAAAACAGCCTGTCATCCCCTGTGTCAAATCCCACATTGATGTCCGTTTGGTTCAAGGGGATGAATTCCCCTTCTTTGGTCTGTTTGGATTTAATCATCTTGGCTCGAATAGATGCTTCTACAATGTGGGAATTCCTTAGATCTCCAACCCGAAACATGAGACACAATTTCTCATCCCGGATTGAAATCACAGCATTGTAGGAGAACATGAGAGTCTCTGCCCTCTTCTTTGGTTGACTGATCTTCACAAACATGCACCCCACCATGAAAGCATTGACTATGGAGCCCAGGATTGCTTGGACCAAAAGCAATATGATGCCCTCAGGACATTTCTCAGTGATCACCCTATGGCCATAACCAATGGTGGTCTCTGTCTCAATGGAAAACAGAAAGGCAGAGACAAACCCACTGAGGTTGTCAACACAAGGGATCCAGTCTTCATCTTCCGCATGGTCTAAATCTCCCCGGATGTAGGCGATGAGCCACCAAATGAAACCAAAAAACAACCAAGTGATGGTGTAAACCATGGTAAACACAAGCAGGTTAAAGCGCCACTTGAGATCCACCAAAGTGGTAAAAAGATCACTGAGATATCGGTAGGTTTCCTGGACGTTTCCATGATGAACGTTGCACTTGCCCGTTTTTTCCATGTACCTCTGGCGTGGTTTCTTGTTTTCAGCTACCAAAAGACGCGTTCGATCTGTGGCAATTGGGACATCATCCCGGGCTTGTTTGGGAATCTTCTTTTGCTCTCTGGGGGTGACGCCAATTTCCATATCTTGATTCATGAAGATCCTTGAATCTCCGGCCATGGTTGGGCTACAGAACAGGAAAAAAACATTATACAGTAACTCTACCTTATCAAAATAAGCAGAATTCTTTTCCTCAGCCTACTTGTCTCTTGATATTTGTGACTGCAAGCCACATGGGCTGATAATGATGTGAACTGACATCCAAAACATTTGCAAAACAGCAGTTCAGGCAAAGTGGATCCACATCTTTTGATGAGTGTTCTAGGGCATTTATATTACATTTTCATGGGCACATTTTCATCACCATGATTCACTTTATCCATAAAATAATCTCCACCTCCCTGTTTTGGTTCCTTAACTTTACCAACTGAAGTGTCAAAATTACCCCCTTTCCCCCACCCCCACAAAAAACCCTACCCATATTTATTCAGTAAAGTTGCACGAGACATTTGAAAGAAGCAATTTGCAAAATGCATTAGCCAGAACAAAAGGTATCTCAGAATTTTTTTGCAAAGATTGAATGGTGGCTTTGAAAATTCTTCCTAGTTATCTCCATGGGGATGTACATGGATAGACACTTTGCAGCATTGGTGGTTCCAATGGAAGTCCTATCTAACCACATAGGAAAGCATATGCTCAGGCTTTTTAGCTATCCAGCTGTCTACTATCTAGCTATCATCTACCATCCATCCATCCTTCCACCCAGTCAATTTGTCCATATAAATTGGAGACAGGGGCCTCCAATCCTCAGTCCGTGGATGGCACTGGGCCTCCGCATGCCAGAAATTGTGCCATGAAAACAAGTGAAGCCCCATCCGTGGGATACAGGCAGTAGATGAAGCCACGCCCACTCCGGTCCATGGAAAAACTTCTCTCCACGGAACCGGTCCCTGATACCCAAAAGGTTGGGGGCCACTGCTCTGAGAGGCAAACAACCATAAAAATAATTGGTAAACAGTTAAAATAGAATGCAAAAAAGAAATTAAATAGAATTAATGTCGGTTCTTTGAGATAGGCCAAATCAAGAAAGAGACAGCAAGGATTATAAGAATGCTGCTTTATTGCTATAGGGTTATTTTGAAATTCTTTCTCATGCGTTCTCCTGTCCCTGGATTGTTTCTTTTATTTTATTTTTCTGAATACATTCTTCAAACTTATCTTATTTATACACAAGATAGGTGCAAATGAATGTTTAACTCTCCCCCCCACTCCCGTCCATTTCTCCTCCTGTAAGCGAGCAGTGTTTGAAAAAAAAAAAACAGGAGATTTTGCACTTATTAATGGAATCCTTTTATTTTTCTGATAAAAAGAAATCCTGTTATGAAACCTTTCATTTATCTTTGGACAAAAGTGGAGCTCCTGTGGAGAACTACTCACCAGCCCCCATGTACTTCACACACACACAGAGAGACACATGGATATACACAGACACATAGACCCAGACACAGACAAAGAGCACAAATCCTAGGAAAACCTAACCAACTCTCTTAATTCTCTGTCTTTGATCTTATAAACCGATGGCTAGGATTCAAGATGAAGCAATATAACTAAGCTACATAAAGTAATATAATTATAGAAATCTATTTTTGAAAAGTACAAATAAATACCCAAGTCAAACGGTAGAAGAACCAAGGAGAATGAACAGATACCAGTGTATCTCACCAAAGTCAGAACTAGAAATAAATCTCGGGGCCTCCAAAAGAAAAGCAAGCGTTGGTTTTAACCCAACTTCTTCAGTTTATTGAAACTTTTCCTTTCAAAACCTAAAGCCAGGAAATTTTCTATTCATGCTTAGCTTTCTTAGAACCAGATTTTCAAAAGAATGCAGAGATTTGGTAAGATATTTGCAGCTGAATTTCTTCTGCACCATTATTTTCAGTGGGATAAAAATGAACTTTTCCCTCCCCCCATTTGGAATTATGGCAAGAAAATGAATTCTGTTAAATTGCTACTGGGAATTCTGGAATTTGTAGAACTTCAAATTATTTGGAGGAGCCCAGAATGGAGGACGAAAGACTCGAGCTGTTTGTCACTATTTTTTACTTATTTTAAAAACCGAGCTATGTAACCATCCCAATATTGCTATTACAGAGCATCAAAATAGAGTTGGAGAATTGCTGGAGAAATCAAGAGAAGACACACTGAGGAAGGGAATGTATTGTCCAGCTGCCATTTTATCAGGCTGCTTCATCAGCTTCCTTAAAAGCCCAGCAAATGTGTTATCATCTCTTCAGTTTAAGCTGATCATGAGCTGGACTGCAAGAATTGTAAAATCTTGCATTGAATTGTGACGGATGCCAACTGCACAGCTTCCAGCAAGAGCTAAAGTCCTTTTTCTTTTCTTTTTTACCACCCTGTAATCCCTTGCTTTGGGGTGGGGTCAGGGTGACTGAATGGAACTGAGCATTTACTGACCAGATGCCCTTCCTGACACCTATGCTGGGTTTACAGCAGATATTTTATCTTTGCTCCCTGATAGAGAAACATCTGCCGCTGCCTAGGATTGAATTCTCAACCTTCCGAGTAAGATATGATGTCTTCAACTATGGGCCACTGTGTTGCTCAAGAACTGAAGTCCAATTGCAACATCAAGGAAGGATAGTACAGATCCTGCAGAAAACAGGATCAGCAATTTTCCAACCATATTTTGCTCGGGTTAAAAAGAAAACCTTGAAAACTCTTCACGGTAAAATAAGTTACCAATCTGATTTGAAGTGAAAAATTGAACTGACTCTGAGAGTAATGCCAGGCAAAGTATATAGAGAAATATTCCTTACCTCAATATGAGAGGAAGTGTGATACAAGACATAGGATATTGGCTTAGTCTTTTAAACTCCTGAATTTTCCGCTTGTCCAAGTCATTAAAGTCCTAAGTAGACTTAATCTGATCATTCCTTCCTTAGCCTCCCTTCGGCGGCTGTGAAGACAAGAACAGGAGATTGCAAACTCTTAAAGAGCTGGACGTAGGCGCTATTGATTACTGAACCTAATGTCTGAGTGTGTAATGTGCTTTGATTTCTCACATAAAAATAATTGAAGTGTGAAGCAATACCAGATAAAACAAATTGGATACAAGTACATAGAAGACAGAGACGTATGAAAAAGAGCCATGCAAGACATAGATTTCATTTCTTTTTAACAAGCCCTGTGTCAGCCTATCATTTCTGGTTAAGAAATGCCATCTGATCACCACCGACTACTTCCTTTGAGATAGAAGAGCAGAATGTTTTTGGCTCCAATAAGCCAGTCCTTGCTTCATGATCGATCACTTAACATCCATTTGAAGCTACAGTATAAATGTAACTTGTGGTTATGGAACTTGTGACTCTGTGCTGACATATTGGCCCTATGTCAAGGATCACCTGTAGGGAACAATGCTGAGAATTCTACTTCCATAACCTCTGCAAAATCAAGGTTTCCCACTTATAAATGAAGTCCTTTAAGCCTGTGCTCAATTACCAAGGAGAAAGCTCCCTTACATACAGAACAATACAATGGTAACTCGTCGTGGCTCAGTGGCTAAGACGCTGTGCTTGTCGATCAGAAAGGTTGACAGTTTGGCAGTTTGAAACCCCAGTGCCGCATAATGGAGTGAGCTCCCGTTACTTGTCCCAGCTTCTCCAACCTAGCAGTTCAAAAGCATGTAAAAAGGCAAGTAGAAAAATAGGGACCACTTTGGTGGGAAGGTAACAGCGTTCTGTGCGCCTTCAGTGTTTAGTCATGCCGGCCACATGACCACGGAGACGTCTTCAGACAGCACTGGCTCTTCTGCTTTGTAATGGAGGTGAGCACTGCCCCCTAGAGCCAGAAATGACTACCACGTATGTGCCAGGGGGACCTTTATCTTTACCTTAGCTCCACTTAGTAGATGAGGTTGAAATGGGGAGATCCACATGGCCTTCACGGTGAACCATAATATGATTTGATTTGTTTGAGCATAGTCGGTGACACAGAGACATCAACTGACTGATGTTCACAAGTTTATGATGCCATGGATCTTCCTTCGGGAACACAGGCACAGAGCTGAATTTTAAGTGATCGTGCCAAGTTTATAAAATGCCAACTTGTATTTTTCTTGGGTTATTAGTGGTGATCTATTATGCAGCTCACTTCAGGGGAAGGCAGGATATTTGTCAAGTTAATTAATCGGTAAACAAGCTTTGTTTAGTAGAAGCCAATTCAAAAATATTCTCTCTCTCTCTGTTTTTTCCCCCTGGGAAAACCTGATTGCCAAAATGATAGACTGATTTCCCACCCCCTGAAATACAGGGGGAAAAAAGGGATTTCCCCCCAAAAGATTATAATATATCAGGCAATCTGTGAGCCTGTTTATTATCGTGCAGAATTCATCAACCACAGAGGTTAGTTGTTGTTTTTCTGAGCCACTCCTACCTTTGTAATACAGAATAGAACAACAGAATAATTATATCACTTTTATGCACAAAGTCACTTGTTCCTTTTGGACGGACTGCAAAATTGGCAGTAGCTGAAAATGGAGATGGGAAGGCCAGTTTTCTCCCTCTTATCAAGTACACAGAGAGGGTTTTTATCAGCTTTCCTCCTATCACAACCCTCCTTACTCACATTCCAAAGGGGGTTGGTTAGGAATGACCTTTAAAAAGGCCCAACATTTCATTCAAGGTGAATGAGCTAAATCCAGATGGAGCTGCTACTGGTCCATCTGTGCAGTTGCAGAGAAAGTTCCAGCATTTAGACCACTGACAAAAATGTGATCCCAATGATAATAAGCAGACAAAGATTCAGCTGGATGAATTATTTTCTTCGTACTTAATGGCCGTCTCAAACCTGCTGCCGAATTGCAAAAATTAATGCAATTTAAGAGAGGAAGTAATTAAATATATGGAGAATAATCATACTAGCTGGAGCGCATTTACAAGATTCAGTTTGGATTGAATCAAATTTAGAGTCTGTCAACACCTTGCCCCTATCTTGAAGAGCGCCTGTCTCTCCCAGCACCACAGTCCAGAACCAAATGTAGCCCTTAGTGTGACAAGCAGCAGATCCTTGGCATGAAAAATAATGGGCAGCAGACCATGGTCAGGGCAGAAACCCAAGAGACTGTTTTGCAGGGAGGTTGAATGTTGGGCCATTATGGTTTGACCAGTTCTCAAAGGATCCAAAACTTTCTCAACTTTACTTGGAGAACTGATGTCAGACTTTAGGCAAGGAAAAAATGGTACACTTTTCTCCAGTGTTAGTGTTCCAACTAACAAACTCCAGGCCAATAAACTCTGAGACAGGCATTTTCTCAAAGTTCCATTTTGATAGTTCTGGGTTTTCCCTTCCCAAAAGAAAAGCAAACATCCAACTCCTGCACCCATCAGTCCATCACATGGCCCAATCAAATGTCATCCCCACTGTAGACTTTCCTCCAGTCACTGCCCTCCAGGTGCAGGGTAACATGTCCTTGACTTTCTGAGAAAGAATGTTGCTGGGTCTAATCTTCCATCTTTCTATGAAATCCCCCCTCCCAGATTCCCAGGCACTGAATGTGGCAGCCTCAAAGCTTCCAAGTAAAAATGGCTTCCAAGGCTGACATCCGGTGGATTTTCTTCTGTCTAAAAAAAAACCCCACACAAGAATAGCAGATTCAGGATCACATGATATTAAGAATGGGCAGAACTTTAGTCCAAAAAATATTCAGCCAGGACAAAAATCAACTGATTATCTGCCCATGGTAACCTGGATCAGTTTTATAATGTGTATGGAACAACTAAAACTTACTTCTTTGAACACCTCAGAAAAATATATTTTGCACTAATTAGACTTTGTAGGGTAATTATTTCACATATAATAAATGAACTTCTTTTAAATATACTCTACTGAGAGTTGAGAAGCAAAAAAAAGCTGGCAAATTTATCCCGTTTTGGCAGTGGGTTGAAAAGCTGCCATATTTGTTCTGACCAGTTGGTCTTTCCAGATAAAATCGACTGGAATTTTAGAGTTGGAGGGATTTCAGGGACAATTAAAGATGATCTGGAATATAATCAAAGCATCTCTCTCGCGTGGCTGTCCAGCTTTGCTTACATACATCCGATGAAAGACTGCTGACTGGTTTTGGTACAGTGGAAGTCTCTTCTATTGCCAAACTGCCCGTGCTGTTTGAAAATTGTGTAAAAAAATTCTCTGCATTTCTGTCCTTTTGAGCAACAGAACTAGAGGTGGTATTCAGCAGGTTCTGAGCAGTTCTGGAGAATCGGTAGTGGAAATTTTTAGTAGTTCGGAGAACCGTCAAACACCACCTCTGACTGGCCCCACCCCCATCTATTCTCCACCTCCTGAGTCCCAGCTGATCGGCTGGGTCTCCTTTTGTTGCCCTGCACAGGAGAACGGAGCTGGAAAGCAGGTTAGTGGGGTGGAGAGGGAATGGGTGTTTTGCAGTATCCTTCCCTTGCTACGCCCACCAAGCCACGCCCACAGAACCTGTAGTAAAAAGTTTTTGAATCTCACCACTGAACAAAACAGAGCTGGATTTTTATCCTCATTAAAGAAGGCACTCGTGGATGTTTTAAGATCATAATCGTATCTCGTTTGATAGTTTCTTCTCAGGCTAAAACTAGGATGGCAGCCTTTGGGTGGCCAACAACAACACTGTTTGGAAGAATGGGCACATGTTTTTGTGTGAACACAATGACATAGAGTTGGTGAGGATCACTTCACATTTGTGGACAAGCCCAAGACAGGGTTCAGGATAGCCGGATTCCTGCAGCATGCTAAACATACGTGGATCTGCTTGGTTCCAGCATCAGCTGGTCATTACAATTTGTACCTAGCTGCTGCGAATAAAATATCACCATTTAATAAAAATAAGAGTGCTCAATTATGGGATGCAACAGAGCAGAATATAAGAACCTTTCCAGTTTCTCTGCATAATTTCTAATTTGCCAATTCTGTGCTACCTTTTGTACAATGCACCATACCACAAATTAAGTTTGGATACTAATTCCTTCTTATAGTATAGTTTTTATGCAGTTATACCTCTTGTTTTTCTGTTATATGGATATATGTCATAGTTCTGGGGTGCAATGGCTCAGCGGCTAAAGGCACTGAGCTTGTCAGCTGGAAGTTGTAAGCTGGAAGCTGACAGCCCAGGTTTGAGACCTGAGTGCTGCACGACAGGGCAAGTTCCTGTTACTTACTCCAGCTCCTGAACACCTACCAGTTTGAAAGCATGCAAATACGAGTAGATAAATAGGTACCACTTTAGTGGGAAGGAAACAGTGTTCTGTGCACCTCAGTATATAGTCATGTTGGCCATGGAAGCATCTTCAGACAATGTTGGCTCCCTCAACTAGGAAATGGATGTGAGCACTGTCCCTTAGAGCAGGGATCCCCAACACCTGGCTCGTGGCATGCCACAAACTAGGGCATGCAAACAAGCAAATCCCCACCCATGAGATGCAGGAAGCACACAAAACCTCGCCTCCTCAGATCCATGGAAGAACCTCTCTCTGTGGAACTGGTCCCTGGTGCCCAAAAGGTTGGGGGCCACTCCCCTAGAGTCAGACATGACTAGACAGCATAAACCTTTTATGCCATAGTTCTCCTATTAGATATTTTACGGTACCTGGTCTTATGGCTGTAATAAACTGATTGATTGGATTATAGTTTCTATTCAGAATTTAATCTTGGTTCAGAACAAAAGCTAATGGAAATTGCTTCAAGTCCATCTTTTAGAGCTTGTTGGGATTTTCTTTGTTTGGTTTGTTACCTTGGTAGTAGCAGTTTCTGAAAGAGGAGAGAGACAAATGAATGCCAGCTTACAATGAAATCCCAGGTCTCACAAAG